ACCATGAGAGCCGCTCAATAGCTCGACGTCGTTCTATCAATCTCATCTCGAACAAAAAAGGATTACTTAAACCGCTCACTATATTTCCCAATTCTCTTTAACAAAAAATAAATGACCGAAGTTCTAGAGGTTTTATAAATATTGCCACATGAACACAACATGATTTATCAGCTTGAAATGTTTTATTACGAAAATGTTATTAAATATTTTGAGCTAAACATCAAGCGATAAATTGCATATAATTCCTGAAAATTCTATAATTATCGTTTGGTTAATTTTATTTTTAGTACAATAACTGACTTGCATGATAAAATTTGACGGAATTGATTTGTTTTTATGTGAGTTTTATATGACATGCTAACATCGTACTTGGGAGAGCCGATTGCTTGAGATACAACTTTGGAGAAACTAAAACCCTATACAGGCATATCGGTTGGTGATTTCTATACCTAAACAACATTTCGAGTTTATTTGTAATTTGAAAACTCCTGATGCCACCTTTATATATATATATATATATATATATATATATATATATATATATATATATATGTGTGTGTGTGTGTGTGTGTGTGTGTGTGTGTGTGTCAGACATACGCGTTTGTATATAAACTAGAGAGTATTTGCATAAAAAGCTTGTCTTTTTATTGATACCACCTATGTCCTGGCAAAGCATTTTGTATTCAGGCATGTACATTTTACATATACGCAAACAAATACACACACTTACATATACACGTATTAGTAGGATATAGAAACGGAACGAAATGGAGAACTCAGACATAAAATGTAAATTAAGAAGACAAAATTATTTTAAATGCAATGAAATCGGAATTCCTTTCTGATAGTGATTTTTAAAACATACGCGAATGCGTTCTGTTATGGTTATTTTAGAATTTTAAATTTATCCGTTCTAGGTAAGGATGTTTTTGCAAAATAAGCTTTTCAATATAAGTAAGCTGATCAGAAATTTATTGTAGTTACAATTAGTTTGTCATTATTAATTACCCGTGATTATAGTAGCAAAGATCAAAAGTACTGGGGTTTAAAGTGAATTTCATATTGACATCAAACATCTGATAAGATAACTGGAAAAAAATGAGAATAAGAAATATACCTATATTATTCAATGAAATATATTTAAATGAGGATATGCTGCCTATATATATATATATATATATATATATATATATATATATATATATATATGGGGATGTCTATGTGTGTGTGTGTGAGTCTACAGACGATTCAATATATGTATGCGTATGCACATGATTATATACGCATAACCTATATTTATATAAACAAAATGTACAAAATAGGATATGTATTATTATGTGTATGGGGCAGTTGATGTTCCTTGATACATGATTGTACTTGCTTAACAATGAATATATTTACGCTTCTATACATGTACGTGTGCATGCATCTAAGTTTGCCTCTGTAATCGTTTGCAGGAAAGAGCGCGTTTTCCTTTCCTTTTTAGCTTTTTTGTATACAAGTCTGCGCATGCGTGACTGTGCACATACTGCAGTTGCTAATCAATCATATAGATTAAAAACAAACATCAAAAGGCGAGCTGCCGCCAATATTTCGGTCATATATCGACCTCCGCACATTTCGTTCGTCGACCCATTGTAACGTTCCAGTTCTCCGCTTTTCCTGATAACATTTCTTTTACTCTCTCTCTCTTTCTCTGCATATACTATTCTGTTTGCCACCACTAGTTATATTTTTATTCTTGCTTTCTTGCATAATGCGTTTATTATTTTTCCATTTTTATTTTTCGTCGAAGACGGTTTCTCCCGTGTATTTCAGACATTTTTTATCATGTTTATTCTAACTGATTTATTCCTGTGGTACATTTAAACTTGCTTATTTAAAAAAATATTTTATCTTATTATCCAATCTTTGCTTTCATTATTCTGTGCTATCTTTTCTTTTCCTTTATGGTTTTGTTACCTATTATGTTATAATGACTTAAACACCCCGGTTATATATTCTTTCTTTTCCTGCAGTTCTGTTTTCGTTCTTTTAACATTCTTTCTATTTTACTAACTCTTCTCAATGGTTTCATTTTTTGGCCTTAACTTTTCGCATATAATTTCTTTTCTTTTTCCTATCTCTTGGACTTGATTTCATTTTTACCGTCTTTCCTTTGTTTTCTTCACAAGCAATGTTATTTTGTTTTTTCATTTCTTTGCATTCATTCATTTTACCGTCTATTACCGAGTTACTTTTATAAAATTTAATGTCCCACTTTTCACCAAAAAACTATTTGGCTTTCCTATTCAGGCAATATTGTATCCATGCATTCTAAAATAACTACCAGAATGGAGACTGGTAAAGGAGCAGGAAAGATGTGACTGGAATAAGGAGCTTTGCAGAGCCATGATTGCCTTAGTCCGACGAACTCCAAAGATGATATATATATATATATATATATATATATATATATATATATATATATATATATATAGTTGACTGTAATGTCTCATTATAATTTAAAAAATGTATTTCGATGGCAGTTGATGAAATATCTTAAGTTTTTAATCACATTTCATTTGTGTATTCCAGGTACACTTTTGATGGAAGTTTTATGTTAAATGAACCCCTAACAGACCGGTGAACTGGAAGTGATGACCCAATTTCCTGACCACCCCATTCAACAGATATCTGGACTTATTCTATGGGGTTAATTGCATGAAATCAGGTATCGAACAAAGATACGGGACATCACTGATCTAAATAAAAGATCCCTGATGCCGTTGCCACCATTCATGAAGCTATGCTACAGCGAACATGTCAGGAAATCGAGTACCGTTATGATGTGCTTCGTGCAACTAATAGTGCTCATATAGTAGTTTATTAAATTAGTTAAAAACTTCAATAGCAACTCCTCATTTCCTAACAATTTCCACATATTTCTCTGATCATTTTCTTTTGTAATAATTTTTTGAAATTGTAAATAGACTTTATGGACAACTTGTATATATATATATATATATATATATATATATATATATATTTTTATATATATATATATACACATATATATATATATATGCATATATATATATATATATATATATATATATATATATATATATATATATATATATATATATATATAGATAGATAGATAGATAGATAGATGCGTCTTTGGAACTTACAAGCCTAATGACTTAGTTATTATTTTTTATCAAATTTTACAATTTTTTACAATTTATCTACTTATATTTTCTTTAAAAAATCCTCATTTGTTACTGTTAATTTTTCTCTACTCGTCTATATTACTGGTTCCCAATTCTTGGCTGGCTGAGGAAATAATATTGAATATTGCTAAAAGTAATGAGAAATAATGTCGCATGAAATGTGCATTAATTTCTTATAAATTAGTTTAATTATATATGGATAAGTTTTTAATCACTTTAAACCTTATTTTTATTTGATACTCATATTTGATTTGTATAATTTATTAAACCGTATATTTATTTGTTTTTGTTTACCGGCCTGAATATTGAAGAAATCATTTGTGCTCTCCGTTACTATCGGATTGCTAAATAAAAATCCGTTACCTTAGAAAAGTGAAAATCTATATATGTTGAAATATCCGGCAAAATTATAAAATGTATGGCATAAATATTTTCCGATATCTTTCTCTTTCTCTCCATTTTTCTCTGTCTCACTATCTCTCTCAGGACGCACGGTAAAGCACGGGATGTCTACTCAACACCCGTATCTGCTAATAACAACATTCGAAGGAATAAAATGTCAGATTAAAAAATAAATTAAATAATTATATATATATATATATATATATATATATATATATATATATATATATATTCTGTCAATATTTCTGAGATGGGGTATTATGTACAGTATTTACATTAGTCGGACTATTGTCCTCATCTTTGTCGCCATATTTGTCACAACGTTTCACACAATGGATCATGGTTTAACATAATAATGGTTTTCTATTTATCAATTCATGAAAGCAAAATAAGTAAAAGGTATACAAAAAGAACGTGTCGATCCATAGATAAAGAAACAAAAAATAAATGAGTCTTACTGATCTGTCTTACATCTTTTGCATTCTAGAATCTTAATACGGGAATCTATCCATCGACAGAGCTCTAAATTGTGTCCACATTCAACACCGTTTGATCACACAAAGAAAAACATCATAGCCAAAACAAAAAAGGGAAAACAGTGGTTAGCTGAACATGGTTGGGAGTGGGTAGTTCTGGTGGTGAACTGTGACTTCAGGAAATGGAAACTAATGTTCAGAACTGCCGGTAAGCACATTTCCATCAATAAGAGACTCTGATACACAGGTCGGTACATGAAATTCCTACTTAAGAAGACGCAAAACGCACAAACACACAAGGGCATCTACTCAAACAAAACGCATTATATTATGTATTTGAAACAAACTATCCAACAGCAAATATCAATTGTCAATCATATTTCTCTATAAAACAACACACGCATACTACCATATTTATATATAAAAGCACAGGCTCCTCTTCACAGTTATTATTAATGAGTAAGCGTGAGTCTGCTGAGAGGAGTTTTTATTTTTTTTATAATTAGGTGCCTTTGTACAACAGATGGTTTGCATATGCACAAAAATTAACAAAAAAAAAAAAATAACGATTCGCATATTCGTAAAATAGTGTGACGTTGTTTGTGGCTGCCTGTTTGCTAATATAATTCCGTTATAGAAGTTGATAAACGTTTACGTTTATTGAAGTTTCAAGTTTTACTGACGATTATCCTGACATTTTGATTCTTATTTTACTGCTTTGTTTCCAGATTGATTTGCTCTCTCTCATCTTTAGAAAAACGTGATATCTCTTTGTTAAATTCTTCTTTTATTTTTTAAATATATTTATAATTACATTTTTTCTGAAATTCAAATAAATATCCGAATCAATTTTCACTGACATTTAATATATACAAAATTTAATACAGTAAAATTAGATTTCTTCAAGATATCTATCTATCTATCTATCTATCTATCTATCTATCTATTTCTCTATCTATCTATTTTTGTTATCAATAGAGCAATCAGTCTTTAATACATGTTTAGCTGATATAGACATAGGTGTTACTATTGTTTATTTTTATTATTATTATGTTTTTCTCTTATGCGAACACGTGTTTTCTTTTATGGACTCAGTGAATGTAAATGTTATCTAAAATTCTGCAAACTATTAGTCTCATCTATTATCTATTTTCAAGGATTATTTATTATCCTAATAATTGATATGTAAGTGCTATTTTAGAGTGAATAAATGGTGTTGTAAAAAGAGATATGAAACGCTTTAATTTGACTTGTTTCGCTGTTGAATTAGCACAACTGATGACAGGTTCACCAATAAAACATGTCAAATTAGAAATGAAAACAAAAAACTCTCTAATATATTAAAAATTCATAAAATTTTTTAATAATAACAATATTAATAAAAACTGTTTAAAATATTAATATTCAAATAAAACCTTTTCCAAAAGGCATTATAACTTTACCATTCCTTCGGACACATGTACATAAATTCATAAGTGTGTTTTTTCTGTGCTTGTTATCATTATGTCTTCATGATATGTGCTTTCATTGGCTTCAACGAAATTTCTATCTTTGCAGCTCTAAACAATATCCAGCTGTTGACTAAACTTCTTTCTTAATCACTCTGCCATTCATTCACACAAAATCATTCCTTATATCCTCCGTAGGTGCCCAGCGTGATGCACGCTTGGGCGATCATGATCGAATAAGGAAAATAAATCTGGCGTCATTTTCTGCCATAGACTGGTTACCAACCAAGTTTATAGGTTCCAGCATATTCTCCTATTTTACCCCTTAACTAGGGGATCGATTCATACCTCTGCTCGTCGGTGAATCTAACGAATTCGACTGGAATTCGAAGTCGCCTACCAGATTTCTCATTATGTTATCCATGACACCACTCGCATAACATTGCAACAAGTTTTCCAAAGAGGTTACCTACTAAGGTATTGACTAGTCTCGACATAGCTTAACTTCCCTGATAGGACGAGTACCAGTGTTTGTATGTGATATATGTATATAACAACACATTTTCATCTATCTGAACATTTATCTCAGTTGATAGATAGCTCGTTCAAAAATCGCGAGTTTTTACACCATTGTTTAATAGACTCAGAACGTTTTACATTGTTACCACATCTATCTATCTATCTATCTATCTATCTATCTATCTATCTATCTATCTATCTATCTATCTAATGCTATGTGAGTCACTGCGCATGTGCATATATCTGTGTATTTTATTTAGTATTCAAGCCACCACTTATATATCGATGCTTTATTCCTGTTTTTCTTTTTCTTTAGTACATCGTTATTTTTCATCTTTCATTTATAATAACCATTGTTTGCCTGTGCTTTTATTCGCGAATGTTTTTGTATCAATAATGAAAATATTTCCAATTTCTTACAATCTCTTTTAACATGCTTCCGCCTTTTTATCCTGTCTTTCTCTCTTGTAGCTACTTTGATGTTTTAACCTCAATGCTCTAAATAATATGCCCGCCTCTTTCAGGATAATTTTCCCCTACATCTTTTATAATGTATTTCCACATGGATATTTTCTTCAAAAGCATTCGAGAAATTCTTCCTTATTTTCTTTCTCTCTAATCATCCGTATTTTCTCAAAATCGTTCTATTCTTTCTCTCTGAATCATCGCTACTCATATCAAACAATTTCTTGTAAACATATCGCTTAATCGTAATCGATAGATCGATTACTAACTTGACTTTTCCAGTCAGTGATAGACACAAGGTTTTCATCGTTTTCAAAAAAAAACATCGATTGCTTCGATCCGATTATTCTTTTAGCAAATATGATTAACATTTTTTGCAGGAGTGTCCCTGTAAGCGTGGTTATACTTATAAGTTTTACGACTTTTTCAAGAAGCACTAATAAAAAAAAGAATTCAGAATAAAAGCAGAAACATATTTGATGTTCAATCTTGTACTAAGACAAGGATTATGTCCTCTTTGGGAGAACAACTCTGTTATATCTTCCTATTCTATAATTTTCCTGCATTGTAAGTATTTTTATATAGTCTCCCTTCTCTCTCACTCTCTCTCTCTCTCTCTCTCTCTCTCTCAATACACACACACACACACATATATATATATATATATAAATTAATATTTTATATATGAATTCAAGTCTTGTCTATATAAAATATAAAGTCTATATTTCTGAAATGAAGTATTGTAAACATTTACACTATTTACATTGTTCAGACTATTGTCCTCATATTTATTGTCATATCGGTGGACGAAATAAAGGAATCGGTTCGAAATTCCAACGTATATACGCTGAAGAATGTCAGACCATGCAACGGCAGAAACGTCTCTATTACGATAATATATATATATATATATATATATATATATATATATATATATATATATATATACGTATAATTGTCCAAACTATGTAAATAGTACAAATAATAATTTCTATTGAAATTTTTAACCCTAGATATTCTAGAGTCATTTCGAATCTATTATAATGTTATCTCACGATCTGAAAAAGTGAGGTTGTCAGAATGCTTAAAGGCGTTAAAAAACTAGAGATTCATAATTCTGTTTGCCATGTTACAGATGGTAGATTACCAAGAGTTTGCCAATACAACGTCTGACACGAAAATGTTTATGAAATCGAAGAAGAAAAAAATAATTCACCAACCAATATTTATCGACATTTGCTGAACTTGATAATTGACATTGCGGGAAGGCTGAAGTGCTGTCACCTAATAAAATTAAAGTGGCTTCAACTTGCTGGTCAACATGATGGCTGACTATAAAAAAGGAGCTCTGTATGGAGCTGAATGTCGCTTTCAACGGATTACAAACGAAGTTGGAAGCGTTAAAACATGGCAAAGAAGATGCCAAATGTGATTCACGAATGCTCAGAAAAGAAGAGGGAAACAAACGAATGCAAATGTGCGATGAATTACTGAAACGTTACTTGGTTGAAACTTGATCTAATGGAATAAACTGTTTCATATATTTAACTATTATTACAACAAACACACACACGCACGCGCGCGCGCACGCACACACACATATTGAGGCAAGATACTTTAACTCTTATCAGAGACTATTTTCATCTATGTATGTGTTATGATTTAACAGCTTAAATTCAAATATTGAAAGTAATTCGGAAAATAAGGATTATTTGAAAGAAACTTTTTGTTCTTAATCAGTTTTCTATAGCCGCCAATAAATTCGTGCACTTGAAATGATTAAAACTAAAATAAATAGTCATAATACGTCTACATTATTTCACTAAACATGTATATATATATGAGTGTGCGTGTGCGTGCGTATTTGTGTTTGTGCGTATTTAGGCAGCATAAATTCATTCAAACATATTTCATGGAATAATATAGACATACTGATTCTTTCCATTATTTCTTGATGTTAACAGGAAATTCATCAAGGAAGGCGCGGTAGATTTTTTCTCAGATCATCGTCTATGGTAAATTACGAAGACAAACGTAATGAAACTGTAATGAAATCTGCAATAACTCTTAACTCAATCACGCAATAACTTTTCTCCTTCAAATTGTGTTTTGGAAAAGACCAACATTGTGTATCAATTTAAATGTCATATGAGAGATTGTATATCTGACAAAAAAATTAAGTACATATATTGGTTTGAACTTAATTTATCGGGTACAAATTCTATTGCGCATCCCAAAACACGTCACTTTCTACCTTCCCAATACAGGAAAATAATTATTGATAACAACAATATACTGCAACATGAATATAATAAAAAAAAACAAATTCTCGCGGCTCTCTATATTAAAATCAACCAATCAACACTAAATAAAATGTATTACGAGTGTAGCAGCATTATGTTGAAGTGCATATAACAAACATTTAATGACATTTTGCATGCTACAAATTAGCCTCCTTATAATAATATATATTTGTTTTACAAAAGATTCCTTAACTATAACGAAGAAAATTAAAATTTAAAAATAACAGAGATGTTTTTTAATCCCCAAGACAACGAAATGCAGACGTTATTGCAGTCACAATAACTTTGTTTTTGTAATTCACCTCTGGGGGTGATCTTGAAGAAGATTGAAAGTGCTTGGGTAGGAAAAATATACAGAGCCTTTATTGATGAATTACATCCTAACATCAAAAATCTGATTAGAGAAACGAAAAGGATCAGTATAATAATAGACACAATTTCTAATATATATATATATATATATATATATATATATATATATATATATATATATATATATATATATATATGGGGTGGATGTGTATCAGCCCTACATGCCAATTACAAATTGTAGATACTAAAACTGAACAAGTACAAAGTTTTAAATATTGAGGGAAATTTTTTTATAAGAATTAATGAATTTATTTTTAATACGACTTTTTTATTACTTCGATCATTATTAGAGTAGATACTTTGTATTTGAAATAAACATCACATTTTTATCTATTAAACAGTGGGTATGTAGTTCATCCACTAAAATAGCGGATGAAGTTATAAAAAATGTCCGATTAAAAATAACTCTATTAATTCTTATAACAATGATTTGCCTATGATTCAGATACGGAACTAAACAGATAGATGCTTCCGAGAAAATCTGCTTTCCTTCAAAATTTAAAAGAGAACAAAAGATCATTGTTAAATTCGTAAACTTAAGGAATCCGCACATATGCTAGGCCACAAAAATCTCCTGAGCCGACCAAGCATAGAAATGAATACAATATGGGAACTAGTAATAAGGAGTGCGAAAGAAAAGCGATAGTATCAAAGAAAATTGCAATATGAGCTCCAGTAAAAAAAAAAATGGAGTGATAACAGCAAAAATTGCAATATGAACGCTGGTTAAAAAAGATTGCTGAAGACAGTGACAGGACCCAAAGAGCATGAGTTCAATAACCTGGTTAAGGCAGTGGAGAACTTGGAGAGGTGAGTTAACAGGAGATAACTGATAACTGACATGCGTTGGACATGGGACGTGGAACTAGAACATTCTACCCCAGCGGGCGAAATAAAGGGTTCAGTTCGACATTCTAACCAGAGCGTACAAGCGCCGAAACGTTGTGATAAATATGGCAACAAATATGAGGACAATGAAAAGTAAATAGAGAACAAAACTTCCTGTGATATTTTTCGTGGTCGAGCGGTAAATCACGATGGATCAAATTGTGGTTTTGTCTAAAAAAAGGGTGACGGATATTCGATAAATGCCGAAGAAGGAATTTTATTTACTAGGATTTATCGAACATGCAGACTGATAGACATAAGACACATTGTGTAATTATGTGATTTCGATTTTCAACATGAAGAAACAAAAATATGTAAAAAGTGTTTTAACAGGGGATGGAATGTACGGCACCGAAATCCGAAGACCCATTGGTATTGCGAAAAATCCATTCTAACAGTTAAATAAATATGAAGAAGAAGGAAAACTAATTAGAAACAAAATCCTCAACGGCTATGTACTGTCCGTAATCCTATGTTAGACAATGTCATCACAAACGGAAAGGAGACGCAGACGTGAGGCAAGAGAAATGTGGTTTTACAGGAAGATACTGAGAACGTCATAGACTAAACATGAGAGCAACGATTAGGCGGAATTTGAAAAGAGAGTTGAATGTTCTAAGGAAGATAAGAAAATTTGGAAAATGTAACACTAGCAGGTCATATTGGAGGCGAGAACGACAGACGAAAAAAGCGCATTGCCTAAATGGTTTACCAAAGAGGAAGAAGAAAATGTAGCAAACAGAACAACTTTACTAAGAGGTACAAAACAAGAAGTCGTCGAGAGCCATGACTTCTCCTGTAATGTCATGAGACATAGAAGAAGAGGTTTGTCTCATTACATATTGATATCATATAACTTTTAGCACGTCAATATATTTGCATAATAAAAAAATATTTGGAAGCGATATCGATTTTCCCATGTGCTTCTTAATGGCACTTCTAAATTTCTTTTATTATTATTATTATTATTATTATTATTATTATTATTTTTTGTTATAAAACAGAATCTTTCAATTTGTTATTTCACCTTTCTGTATTTTTAAATAATTTCCTTCGATTTGTTAAGAAAGATGGATTTCATTTACGTCGTTTATGGAAGCAATTTTTCCTGCTCAATTTCACTGTGACGGTTGTTCATTTTCAATTATCCTTTTTTTTTTTATTCTTCCTCTAGTGATTTCTT